AACTGAGGTGTTATACAACAAAAACAAAGGCTGAGCTGCATTAGTATTGTTTATTGTGTAAAAGGGTCGATGTGGATAAAATCCTGTAAAGTCCACGCATGGACAAGATTTCGCTGTAAAAAAGATGTTATCTCAATATATCTCATCTTAAAATAGAGAAAAAAAATCAGCTGACTTCTAAATGGGTGGTCGGGTCGCGCAGTGGACAGCGCTCTTGCCTTTCACCAAGGCGACCGAGGTTCGATTCCCTTATCGGACGTGAAAAGGAATGGGGTCACTTGCCTGACCAAGTGGGTTTTCTCTGGGTACTCCGGTTCCCTACCACAGTTAGATCCCCCGCGCGCTAACATCCGGGCCAACAAGAGTGATTAATATAAGTTGTAAAAACTTGTTTCATAATTGTTGTAAATAAATAAGGTTAATTTTTAAATGAAGTAAAATAAACTGTGATTCTATTTTTAACTGTATAGAGTTAGTACCATAAATGATGCTAAGAAGTGTGCTTTTGAAGTAATGTTTCAAAGTTCATATAAATATCTATTTGCAGCTATTTGGTTACCGCTAAATAAAGGTTTCATGTTCAGAACTATGTAACAGAAAATCATTCGTGTATGTTTAGAAATGAAGTTCATTTTCATTGTATGCAGTTTTTTGCTGAAAAACAATTGTCCGACTGGCAACCTCCAATCACAGTTCAACAAAAGTGAAGCTTCATAAAATACGCTTTTTATTGCATTTACTTTTCATTATCACAGTTGACTGGGTAACAGATTCACATCAAACATGCATAGATTTAATTTGAATACCGCGGAAATGAGAATGATTTTCTCTTTTTTGCTGTTAAAAATTTACCACACCCGAGTCTGTGGTTTCAATGATGCAAGGGAGATAACCAACAATAAATGAAGGCACAAACGACTAACAGATAAAAATTGTGGAGATCTATACTCGCTGCATTACAATGGCCTGCAATAGAGTTAGCTATGTAGGAAAAGCTGTATTAAAAATATAAAAGAAAGAAGAATGTTATTTTAATCTTTGGCAGACAGTTATAGTACATTAATTTGTGATAACTGGAATTTCTTGTACTGATATAATTCCAAGAAGATTGTCATAAATTTTATCTTATTTACTTATTAACCCCTGAAATTTCATAATGAACTATTCCAACCTTTGAATTGGAAGAGTTCAAATGTGTCTTTAGAGTTGAATGAGTTTAAATTTTTCTGTAAATCATGATATTTTTCAATACTTTGTTTTGTAAACTTCGCCTGTCCTAACTGCATTAAAACTTGAAACAACTTATGATCCTTTCTTTCTCAGTTTTTTTTTTTTTTTTGGTCAAGGTAGAGTCCAAATACTTAACCTTCAAGGAAAAGAGAGTTCCAATTTATTTGCAATTTTTACAGACTTTGAGTTGATTATCTATTTACTAAACCAAAAGGAAAACCCCAGACTACATTGGGAGCTTATCCACTACGCTACTTCTAATGATGTTTTTGTGTTGATACTTTTAAATTTAATGTTATACAATATTGTGTTAATGAATATAAATCTTGATGATCACATGATTCTAAACTAAAAGTTTTTTTTTTTTTCAACAACATGCTTAATTTCTCCAGGAAAAGAAACAGCAGTAAAAATCGGGGAAACACCCAAAATGATCATGTTCCAAGCAATCTTGTCGTATGACAAAACTTAGTTAATTTATGAAATTTATTAAACTTACTGATAACATCAAAAGAAACAGTAAGCATCAGAATCTGTGTTCCTTAACTCATTCACCCCTGAAGACACATGTGAACTCTTCCAATTCAAAGGTTGGAATAGTCAATTATGAAATTTCAGGGGTGAATGAGTTAATCCACAAAAAAAGTCTTTTACAAATTAAAATATTTTCCCAATTGATCTACATGTAGATATTCTTGAAAGTCATTTTTTATTACTTCATTCAACATCTCATTACATGAAAATTAAAGCAAGTTAACTTAAAAAAATAAATAAAATGTTTACGAAAATTAATTGAACCAGATTACAGAATATAAACTCTAATATTTTTTCAGATCATGATGTTTTCAAAATATAAAAGCGGGTGAGGACAAAATTAAAATGCAGGTAAGTGCACAATCAATGTACGTAGGTCACTGTGTATAACAACAACACTACATGACTTTTTCTGCCTTATTTTCTTGTTTCACATTTATAAGAACTATGATAATTGTTTTACAATTTTCATGCGTAATTAAGGAGACTCGATCCGATATCACAAACAACTGAACTTGTTTTTCATCAAAAAACTGATGCGACATTACAATTTCACACTGCCAATGCACACCAAAGAAACAGTCTTTGTGACTTCATCATTTGAAAATTAACTGTACTTGCAGTCATTACAGTCAAACAAAATTTCATAAGTATCAAATAATGTCAAAACCAAAATTATCAAAATTTCAAACATATATTCACATTAAGCATTTGATAACAGTCAAAAAGTAAACTAGTACACTAGTTTTCACTTATTTTTTCTGTTGATAAGCTCTGCTCACTACTAAGCAAGCTATACTGCTCAAAGAAATCTACAAACCAGGATCCTATAAAGATGGAAAAAAAACTTTGCTGAATAATAAATATTAATTTGATGAAAATTCAATAAGTGTGCCTTTTTTCTCTCCACCTTCTTCAGACAGTACACTGCTGGTAAAATTTGGCATCTCCTACACTTAGGTATAGCAAAAAGTAAATAAATTATAGTAACTTCATTGGTATTGTCTTATTTCTCCTAGATAAAGGAAATGCAACAATAATTCGAGTAAAAAGAGCTTGGTACATGCGTATACTGTAAGTAAAATAACATTATTCTATTTTTTTTCCATTTTGAAACTGAGCCGGTATCAATTTTCTTCTGTTGACTCGAGACTTTGACGTCGGGAGGACATGTCTGTTTTCCATTTTCATAAAAATGCTCTTTCAATATCATATGCGGAATTCATTGGACCACATACTTTCATTAACTCATTCACCCCTGAAGACACATTTGAACTCTTCCAATTCAAAGGTTGGAATAGTTCAGTGTGAAATTTCAGGGGTGAATGAGTTAAATATAAAGCTATATGGTAAGTCTGAGTCCACAATATTTACACCACTCAGATACATGACGTGTTTAATGCTTTCGAGAGCAGATTTTTTCAGTGACAAAAATATAATACACATCCTAACATACATTTTTTCTGTTACACACTCCAACCTTAAAACCACACATTATCACATTCACATCAATAATTTACTATATACCATTGTACAACAATGTGATCAGATACCAAGTTATGTCTAGTACAATTTGGCAACGAACAACCCATTTCACTTAAGGATTCCTGACCCACTGCACTGCCCTCTATATACAGTTACCTCCCTTTAACTTCTGTTTGGACATAACTGTAGCCCATTTGGGCTCGTACAGTTCTTTTGTCAAGGGTTTGAATCGCGGTCTGGCCCTGCAAAATATTTTACACTCAGAACACGCCTGTTGATTATATTTTTATTATTTCATCTCCATAACGTTTTCATAAAAGACCTGCAAGGTATATTTTTCTGTTCAAAATTGTTTTATCAAAGCTACAGTAATGCCAGAAAATAAGTTCCGAATGTAGTTTCATTGTTTGGCAGTGGTGCGGGTATTCTTAACCCTTTCACCACTGTAGACCATAATGGACTCATCCAGATCAATGCATGGTAGAATCAACTAAAGTTACATAGGGGTGAAAGGGTTAATATAAAGTTCTATGACACATACAAAATCTCAAACTTGTTTCAATCATTTTAAGAAACATGATTTAATATAAAGGCTAAGTTTGTTTTGAACACAAACAGGAATTAAAAACATATTTTGCGAGCTTTCGAAAACGTCTGTTTGCATTTACACTCATTGCTTGACAAATTAAAGGAAACAGACGTTTTCGAAAGCTCGCAAAATAAGTTTTCAATTCCTGTTTGTGTTCAAAACAAACTTCGCCTTTATTATACATACCAAAATGATTCAATATATTTAATAAGTCAGATGGATTTGGAAACAATTTTTAAGATTCATTGCTTTTATAATTTGCTTGACTATGGTCGGCAAAGTTACATATCTAGTAAATAATTAGTCATAAAATTTCTGAGGAAAACACCACCTTAGTTGTCTGTGCTGTAACTTTGTGACATCATCGTATTGAAACAATGAGTGTTATCACCCGCCACATATCAAAAATCAAACGTCTTTCACATTTACACACTTGGTTCTTAAGAATTTTTAACACTGTATATGTGATAAATTCATTGTTAGGTAGTAAAGGCCTTAAAAAAAATAACTGTTTCCGGTAACCTCTAGCTACCCTACATAGATGTCTACCCTACCCTACCCTACTCATTGTAGATTATTTTACAGAGCATTTGTAAAAATCAGGATTACCTTTACAAATCGAGTCAAAACTAAAACCATTCGTCTGTTCCGAATCCGTATTTCCTCTAAACCATATATATGTCCAAGTTTAACTAAAACCTCTTAATTGTTAAATACCCATGCCAGGAAACCTTGCTCCAATTTCCCCTGATCCTGAGACCACACATTCAATTCTGCTTGGCCTCATTTAATAGCCTCATTGTCAAGTTAATATGGCAGGCAACTGTACTATAATATCAAAGTCACTATATGTATTATTTATGCTGTTATACAACACTATGTTTACGAGATTGCAGGTACTACGCCATGAGAGGCTTAGCCTATAAATAATACTATGGTGATAATTACAACTAGGAAATAAATACACCTGATGTAAATCAATATCCTGACTTTGTTACAATCAAGACATCCAGAGGATGAAGTCACCTTATCCTGTAACGCTCACTTTTATCAATTATTTTTAACTAAAAATTACCAGGGTAAATCTAAATGAACTTTTGAAATAAAATCAAAATGAACTTTTAAAATTCAATCTACATAAACTTTTGAAATTCAATCTACATAAACTTTTGAAATAAAATCTAACTAAACTTTTTAAATTAAATTTGAATTAACGTTTGAAATTAAATCAAAATGAAGTTTTCAATTGTAAGCATGGCCTCTCGAGTTTCACTTCAGCTATTTATGATTCAAAATTGTCTGAAATATGTAGTTCTACAGTACTGTATACAAATATATTTTATGAAAACTTGTAACTGTATACTGTATTTTAACAATTATAATATTCCAAAGTTATTTTTTGCACTGATTGAAAAAAAGGGCAAATTATCATAACTCTCATAAATACTAAATATAAAATCACTGTTTTTTTTGCAAGTCACAGATATTCACAGATAACATGTGAGTTTAACTTTCTAATTTTGGACAAAATTGCAAAAAAAAAATTAAGCCCACGTAAATAATCCGTTCTACATTAATAGCCTGGACAAGTCATTTGCACCACCCAAATCAATAAAATAGGATTGTTTAATAATACCTCCTGTGTAATTAGTGTTTCTGAAGTTTTTTTCTAAAAAAATGTATAAGATACTGAGTTGTATAAGCAACAACATGAACTGTATAATGATAAGGCCCCAAATTACATTGTATCCAACACACACTTTAGATCACTAGTTTTGACCTGAACCGGTCAGCGGTCAATTTCCGAAGCTTCCTTATATTACTTGCGGTACATTTTTAAACATGTCAGATTTTGTCTTTAATAACAGAAGATAACACATGTCTGAAGCTTCCTTGTAAAACTACTGTACATTTTTGACCATGTCAGATTTTGTCTTTAATAACAGAAGATAACACATGTCTGAAGCTTCCTTGTAAAACTACTGTACATTTTTAAACATGTCAGATTTTGTCTTCAATAACAGAAGATAACACATGTCTGAAGCTTCCTTGTAAAATTACTGTACATTTTTTGACATGTCAGATTTTATCTTTTAACAACAGAATATAACGCACTGCACCATTCAAATCACATATTAACAGACTAGACCATGCATCGTAAAACAGGCACCATAACCCATGCATCCCCAACCACACATCACAGTCTCACAGACCAAGCAATCAATTAACAGATGTTAGTCCAGCTTTGTACAGTCTTTAATTCATACATCCTGACGGGAGAAAAACCTGATAATGCTTCAAGCATTTCAGGTCAACAAAGAGCTTGACATCAGCCAGTTGATAACTCTATCACTTCAGGTATTGAAGTTCCTTCGAGGAGTGTACATGTAAATAATACGAACTACAAGAATGTCACAGACGGCTGTGTCCACACAGCAGGTCACAATTTGCATCGGCTCAAGCTCTTTATTTCCAAGGCGGTAAATCACTGGTTTCGCGAGATATTTAGTTTTTCGCGTAATTTCCTCAGCATTTGTTCATCTCACAAATATTTATCACAACACAAGTGAGAAGTGATACTGAACACCGAGAAATTTTTCGCCAAGTAGAATTTTCCACCTTGACAGTAAAATCGATTTTTGCCGAATGTTAAATTTGCCCTTCACATTTAATTACTATGTATATTAAATATGTTGTTTACAAATGTTCGCTGTAACGACGAATTCGCCCTCATTACAGCGGGCGAAAACCTGCAAAAATTGAACTGCAGTGAAAATTTCCCTGTCTACAGTATTGCATTAAAGCTATGATTTTTTTCCATATATTAAAATCCTCTTTTGAAGAGGTATCACTGAAAATAAGCATTCATAACTTGCTGTTGATTTGTTCCCTCTGTTGGCTGTTCCACAGACTCAATGTTTGGAGAACTTTCACAGCACGGGATTGTAACAGGCGTCGCACCACAATTTTGCTAAAACTGTCAAAAATATTGGCACTGCACAAGCTTATAACATGAAGGCAATGGTTTCCCTTATTCCTGAATGTGTTTGGTGCATGAATCTAGCAAAGCATCAAGACTTGGCTTCCAGTACTATATTTACACTCACATCCGTCTCATTGGCGTGAAGACAGAAAATATGAACAGTTTGAAATAAATACTGTTGCAAATTTACACTACAGTGTATAAGAATACTACTGGTCAGTTTCCATCGGTTTTTCCTCTATGAGATGGTTGTCTGTTCCCTCACCCAGTCCAGACCCCTCACTTTCTTTTGGTGTCTCAGTCACTTTATCCTTCACTCCATTTTGTACGGGCGTTACAGGCGTTTCTCCGTTTTGAGAACACTTTTCTTCTCCATTTTGGACCACAACATCCTTTATCGTTTCTTCTTCAATCCTGCCCTTTTCCTCAACATTTTCGCTGTCACCATTTGTCATTGCTTCTGAATTTTCAGTCTTGGTCTGAAACTAAATAAAAGAACTGACTTTGTAAAATTCTACGATAAAAAGTCTAAGAGAAGAATGCTACTCCGAGATTACATAATACGGTACATCAGAAACATTTCGATTAAAACAAGATTGTTTTTGATGTTATCTAGACATGTGAAATCATGAAATTAATGCAGTTTGTTTTAAACACAAACAGTAATTGAAAACTTGTATTGTGAGCTTTCGAAAACCTCTGTTTACTTTGTCAAGTTAAGTGCGCAATTGTCCGTTATGTCTTGACTCTAAACCGCTGAAAACAACTCGCTAAGCCACAGTGTGCTGAGTCAGTAAAGTCAGCTGTCCGAAAATATTGAGACATTTCGCCAGTTAACACTAATACTAAAGGCAATCAGGGTATGGGTAATATGTATACTCATTATGTCCCTTAGTGGATGTACTCATTCCACTAGAATAGTTTAGGCCAACAAAAATTGATAACTTGGTTCTCAGGCCCGCGCACATTTTTTTTAGGGCACCGCATTGCCGATTTTATCGTGAAAGTAATAAAAACAAAATTGTGAATGCGCCAGCCGGCGTCTTTAAAAATATTCGGAAAATTGGTCTGCATATCGTTTTTACTCGTTAGTCACCCAAGTCCCGAAAACGTTTGAATAAAGATAATGATTGATATACAGGCAAGCGTTAAAATGATTATGACTTATTAGTCTTGTGTACAAATGGCGCTCATTTCGGTACAAATAAGGAATGGGGGGTTCGTGATTCTCGTCTGGAACATCGTGGGGGGATTTACGGTGGCTTGCTCTATGACGGGTCTCTACACAACTATAAAAAGACAAGGTAATGCCCACAATGAACATTTTACAAACTACACAATGAAAACAAATCGCCCTCGTCTCGTTTTTGCTATGTAAAATGAAAAAAAAATATACCGCCCTGTCGCATCTCTTTTGAAAAAAATTGGCCTGAGAACCAAGTAATTAATTTTATTTGGCCATATGAAGAAGTATTAAAGATTGCCAACATACTCTACTGTATACTGCTACCTAATGTGTGATTAATACACATGACATGTTATACTCACATGACCTTCCACCATGTAGTCCTGAAATATACCAAATATATCAGAGTTTTAAAGTCAGCATCAAATTAACATAACACAATAAGCATCACACACCGAGTTAAAATCTTGTATAACATTTTGAAAATATTTGAAATTGATTTGAGCATTTATTATATACTAAAGGATTTCTATTTGGCAGCTGACATACATATTTATTTTTATGCACATTAAAGTTGCATGTTGTACAGTGACATAGCTATTAGCATATGAGAGCACATGTGAGCATCCCCCTTGGAGTAGCGCTGATGGCCAATATAGTTATGAGTTTGTCAAGTACAATTTGATTAAGACAAAAATTGCTCACTAATCAGACTCAGATATTCTGATCTGGGTCGAGGCTTGTCGGCACATCTAATTCAAAAAGTATTAATTTGTAGTTGAATTTTCAAAATAAAAACTTCTAAAATCTACATACAATGTTTAATTTGCCCTCTTGCTCAAGTGTAAAACAATTTGGCTTTACATTATCAATTAAGCAAGGTTCTGACTAGATGTTAACACTGTTGTGAATGCCTTACCTTGAAGTTGTTTCCAATCAGATGCTGCATCTCATGCATGACGAGCAGGTCAGACGCACTGAATTCCCGGTCGCAGTACTGACAGATGTAGCCGTCATCTTTACTAGGCTCCTTGACCTCCTCCTGTGTAACCTCGGCGACCTGACTCTCCGCGGCTGGGTCGGCCAGTATTCCCGACTCTGTCTGACTCTTCTCAACAGATGGCGCACCGTTCTCTATGGGAAGGCTGACTGCTTCTGGTACTCCATTCACTGCAGGTGTTTGGATGGCAACAGGTACTTGAGCCTCGGAGGAAGGGTCAACTGCCATAGGGCCACCATTGACTGGTACTACACCAGGTAACTCAGTCTCTGAAGTCTCCGCTTCAGGGCCATCGTCGCTTGCAGGTTTTCCTGAAGCAGATATTTCATCTTCAGTGGGAGTTTTTACTTCTGCCTCACCTTCAATTTGAGTTTTGGCCGACGATTCTGATGCTGGATTAACCGCTACAGGTTCTGTTGTTGACATCTGACAGTCAGAACTACTGGAGGGAATGTCTGTCAAACTACACTCTGCAGAACTCATTTTCTCTACTACCTCACTCTTGGAGAGTTCGACTTCCATACTTTTCCTACTAGCCTCCTTTTTGATTTCTCCCTGCAGTAACTGAGCCACGTACAGGGCCTCCGTGATGTCTGGTTCCTTGGATTGCTTCATTCGATCCATCTGTCCATTCTGAGCCAGCCAGTTGGAGAGTTCCGGCAAGGGAGAGAAGTGGACCTTGATGTGCTGAGTGAGTAGGTGTTGTTTGGCCGCTGTGTAATCACAGTAGGGACAGGCAAGGTCACTGCGGATCATGTGGAACTTGAGGTGAGACAGCAGGTGATCACGTCTGACATTGGCATAGGGACATCGATCACACCGATACAGCTTCTTAGGTTCAGAATCTGCTTCAGACGAGTTCTCAAACAGCTCGAGATGATCGTGGGTGACATTGACTGTGAAGGATTCCTTGGTGTCCAGAGGCGGCAGAGCGCTGGCCAGAGCCACATCTGCGGGGACCTCAGGGAGCTGCAGGAGATTTGACAAAGACTGGGCAACCATGAGATTCTGGTTGGGAGTTCTATGCAGTTTCTCGTGCTGGGCCAATAGGTTCTGTGAGGGCACGCTGTAGTCACAGTAACGACAACCACATCGCTGCTTGCTGCCATGAAGCTCCACATGGTGTTCATAGTGTGATCTCTTGGCGCTAGCGTAAGGACATTTTTCACAGCTGTATTTCTTGAACCTGGCTATCTCGTAAAGTGTGTCAACTTTGCTCTCGTACGGGATGTCGACAATGTCCGACTTGTCATCCACATCCTCGTCGGCACCTCCACCCTCCATGGCCTCGAGGTCTGATATGGTAGTGTCAGAGAAATCTGCCATGTAGCCGGGCTGGTGCACTTTGAGGTGGTGGGAAATCAAGCCCTTGGACCCCACGTAGTAGTCACAGTGGGGACATTTCAGCATGGGGGCCCTCGATACCCGCACATTATGCATCATCTCATGCAGCTTCAGATTCCTGAGACGAACAGTCATGTACGGACACTTTTTGCACTTCTGCAGCTTCTTGTAGACACCGTTCCTGAACACATAGCCTGGCTTGTTACCAACGGAGCAAGCTATCTTCATAGGAGACATCAGAGGTTTCTGGGAAATACTGGGCATTATCTTCGAGGCAATGACTTTCTGTTTGTAGTTGGCAAGTTGAACCATGTCGTAGATACTGCTGGACTCGGAGAAGTCAGACTTGCAGGGTGAGGACTGAACCGAGCTGTTGGTGCTCTTGGCCGCAGGTGAAGCATGGTAGATCTCGTGCACCTTCATGTGCTGCTTCAGCAGGCGCCTGTGGGTTACCCAATAGTCGCACAAATGGCATTTGAATTCGGCGTTCTCCTTGGGCTTGTGGAACTGCTTGTGGTACAGGTAGTCGTTCTTGCTGTTACTTGTGTACGGACATTTCTCACATCGGTGACGTTTCGGAGTGGTAGAAATGCTAGGCACAACATTAGACTTGACAGGCGTTGTGGGAGCCGAGAACACAACCTCCTTGGTACTAGTAGCGGTTTCCGGATAAACGTTTCCTTCATGGAGCTTAATGTGCTGACGGAGGAGCCGCTGGGCCACGACAAAGTAGGGGCAATAAGGACACTTGACCTGTTGTGCATTTGGCTGGGCCGTATGGCAGCTCATGTGGAACTGCAGAAGGTTAGACTTGTCAGTGCGATAGGGACACACCTCACACTTGAACCGCCGGTCTGCGATGCGAACCTCTTTGTTGGATTTATGTTCATCCTTGAGATACTTTCGGACCCTGAGCACCTTACCCTTGCTTCCTCCGCCCTTGTGTTTCTCGCGCAGATGTCTGGTGACGCAGGATCGCCAGCTGGACTGAAACCCACAAAGCTTACACTTGAACATGTCATAAAAGTTGTCTGGTTCAGCGTCCTTCCAGTCGAAGTCCTCCTTTTCTACGTTTTCGACTGGCTCCAGGACCTGTCCGTCCTTGCCTTGTTTCACACATTTGATGGCAGACCTACAGAGGGATAAATTTTCACTGTGATGCCTGACCCGAATGTGTCGACAAGCAGAGCTGCGATAGTTGGTCGCATAGTTACAGATGGAACATTTGTAGGCCTTCACACTGTGCATGCTAAGATGGTTGATTACGACTGTTCGGTCACGGTTTTTGAACGGACATTTCCCACACTTCCATATGTTTGTCAGGCCACTGCTATGCTTCGACTGAGGAATTTGATCTCCTTCCCTCTTTTTCCTCGGATTATAGTTGTACTCCATTAGTGAAACTTTAGCCTCCTCCGTATCCATGACGACCAGCCTGGAGCGCCCACCGTGTTTGCGTTTTGTGTGCCGAAGGATATCACTGCGCCAGTTAGATCGGTAGGGACACCCAGAGCACTTGAATTGCTTGTAGACTCCCTTACTTGGTACACTTTGAGGGTTGTTTATCTCCGGAGCTTTCTCTGCCTCCAGCTTTACGGCCTTTTTGTAAGCACTGGAAACATGAGTGGTTTGGCTGAACTGAGCCATGTACTCGTCGTGGGATCCTCGGGCCTCTTCCTCAGTTAGTGCGATCATGTGGGCTGTCGTGCTGCCTGGATGTTTCATTCTAATGTGTTTGTTGAGGTCCCACTTCCAGTTTGATCGTCGTCCACAGTCCGAGCACTGGAATGGCTTACAGTAGCCGAATACTTTTGGATCTGCTGAGGCGATTGGCAGACCCCCTGGATAACTATGGGATGCGCGTTTGGCAGGTGAAGGACTCTTTGCAGGCGATGAGGCAGGTGTGGTCTGACTGCTGTTACAGTTACTCTTGAATCGATCATAAGGCGAGTTTGGATTTTCTTGGTACACCACTTTAACCTCTGCTCCCGGATGGATGTAGTTGTAGTGTTTCTTTATATCTGCCTTCGTGGCACTGCGCTTCCCACAGTCACCACACATAAACGGCTTGATAAGGCTAGCTGCAGACACTCGGTTGTGCGACACCTCCAGGGCCTCTTTCTCTGGCGTGGCCTCTGTGGTATTTGACATATTCTTGCTGGGGGTCCTTTCATGCTCCAGCATGCTGGAGATGGAGGATGCCGACAGCTTCCTCTTGTTGTTAAGTGGTATGGGTGGTTCCTCCGGAAGCATCTTGGTACCGCTCTCATCAGTGTACCAGATTCTGATTGGTTGGTTTGGATGCCTGTAATGATAATGCTTTCGAATGTCTGCTTTAATATTACCAGTTTTTCCACATTCAACACATTTGTACGGCTTGTCCTTATCTCCTTGTTCAGCAATATAGAATGGTGGAAGATTGCGTGTGGGAATGTTGGCAGCTGCTATTGGAGTAGACATCCTGGGCTCATGTACAGAGGGTAAACTCATGCGTGGAATTTTTATCTGGACCTCGTCGTCCACATCTTCTTCAACCAGACAGATGATATCTACATTCAAGCCACTGTGTGAGTTTCGAATGTGCCTACTCACAGCGACCCGAGTGCTAGAGTTGAAGTCGCAGGCACTGCAGACAAAGCTGTTGCCCGGTTTGCCGGGTTCCTCTTCGGTGGAAGCGGGAACATTGAGGTGGTGTTCCCGTCGGACCACTGGCATGGTGTCCATATAGGTCTGTATGGTAGCCTCAGCTTCCTGGCGGCTTAGCTTGACCACATCCAGCGGACTGTTGTGGTGGTCTTTTCGGATGTGTTTCCTGATGTCCCACTTCCAGTTGGCCCGTCGCCCACACACTGGACACATGTATTGCTTCAGGTTGGTGTGGGTCGATTCGTGAGCCTTGAGCTTGGATTGGGCATTGGTGACAAAGTCACAGTAATTACACCTGAACAAACCTGAGGGAGACGCCTTCATCGGTGACGATTCCGAATCACTTTCATCTTCATCCTCGCCATCAAACATATGGTCCGTGTCATGACTAGAAATGCTTTCCACCTCCATCTTCTCTTCATCAAGTGGTTCTGCGACCTCCTTGTCCTTTCCCGGTAACTTATCTGCTAGGATGGTGATGACCTCATCCAGTATAACATCATCAACCATGACAGCTGGGTGATGTTTATACATGTGTCTGCGAATGTCGCCTTTCCAGTGTGTCTGGTACGTACAGTGCTTGCAGCAGAAGGGTTTGTCACCTTTATGGAGCTTCGAGTGTCTGTCGACCTCCGACTTCCAAGGAGAGGTGAACGAACAAGACGGACATTTAAATATGGCCGGCGAGGACTTGCGGTTTGGAATGGTGGGAACCTTGACATGCTTGACAGAGCCAGGTTCTTTTTTGTGATCCCTCCTGAGGTGGACGTTGAGGTCCCCCACATACTTGTACTGTTTGTTGCAGTGTGGACACTTGTAGCGTTTCTCTACTGTGTGCACAACCATGTGACGTTGAAGGTCGCTGGGCCACTTAGCTTGGTATGTACAGTAACAGCATTTGAGACTGTCTTTGTCCATGATTTCATCCAGATCCTTTGAGGACACAGACAGGTCCAATGGACCATCGCCTGCCACCTCCTCCTCCTCCTCCTCCTCATGTGGCTGTTCCACCTCCAGCTCTACCTGGTTAGAGACGACTACCGGCGTGCTGTTCCTGTACAAGTCCACATCACGCAGATATTGCTTCACAGTCATCTTGTGCTTTAATTTCATGTGGCGGTTCAGGTCAGAAGACCTTTTGTACTTAAGCCCACAGAGAGGACAGAAGAAGCTTCCCTCCACAGTTTGAAGGCTCGGAATTCCCTCTCCACCAAAGTCAGTGTCTGATATATTCGCCGATGAGTTTGGACTTTTTACTTTACCCATGTTTGGTGAGGCTACGGCAGGCTTCAACCCATGGGGAGGAGCTTCATCAATGGTCGACTCGACGGAGGTGTCGGCGTCGGGGAAAATCAGGGACACGTTTTCTGCACTGTTGGTGTGATTGTTGGCCATATGGCGCTTGACAGTGCCTTCGTGGTCGCACGAGTAAGTACAGAACTTACACTTGATGTTGTAACTGTTGGTATGATTGAGTCGGTGTCGGTCCAGGTTAGGCTTGAAGTCTGAGGTGTAGTCACACTCATCACACACATACGCAGCCTTGCCACTGTGGGTCGATTTGTGGGTATAGTAGTCCTTTTTCTTCACCGTAGTGAACGCGCAGATGTTACACTTGTAGGTCTTGGCATTGATGTGTATGCATTGCACATGCTTCGACACGCGATACTTGTCAGCGTTGTTGAACAAACAGTATTTGCACTTGAAGAGTTTCTTGCCTCCCGATGTCAGCTCTACTATGTGGTTCTCGTACCCGACGGGTAGGATATCTTTACCGCGGGCTGCCTGTCGACCGGCCGTAGTCGTCAGGGCGATCTTCACCTTCAGTGGAGCAATGTTTTTAATAGGGCTTACTGCAGGCAGTTTTGGAGACTTGCTCTTGAAGTTGGCAGCTGAGGCTTCGTTTTGGTACTCAATCTTGACGTCGTCGATGTGGATGTTGTATCGATGAACCAACTTGAGATGGCGCTGCACCTTGTGACGATGCTTACAGGAGTACTCGCAGAAGCTGCATACAAAGATGCTGAGGTTCTTGTTATGTGTGTTGATGAGATGGTACAGAAATGTCTTGGATTTATTGGTCCAATAGGTGCACTCGGGACAGCGATATGTTCTACAGTAAACATTTCCTTTACGATAGATTTCTGTTGATGAATCAGCTGAAGGTGGTACTTCTTCAGCCTTAAAATTACCGTCACTTGATCCCTCGGGTAATTCCAGGGACTCGTCTGCTGGAGAACTTGGATCGCTGTTTTGTAGTTCAAGCTTTGGTAATTTAGATGTTGATGCTGATGCAAATAAAGAGGCTCCTGATAGTTTTAGTTTCACCTTGTCTGGTCTTTGATTTGGGGTGTGGGCCTCGGTGTACCTCTCCCGCTTACAGCGGATCTTGTGGCGCTTGAAGATGTAGGCATTCTTGGTTGAAAACATGCAGCAGAGGTCGCATTTTAACAGAGTCAACATGGAGTTTCTCTTCCCCATTTTGGAGCCTGAAAAATATAAATGTATAAAGGTGGATTTAGAAATAGTGACTGTCAGAATTTTATTTTATGTTAAATTCATAACAAAAATAATTTGACATTGTTTTTCTGTTAAGACCTTAAATAAATCCCATTTTTATTGAGATAACTCGTAAGTTTATTAATATATAAAGATTGAACGACCTTTTTTCAATTCATGCTGGTATGAAGGCAAATGTGTTACATACATATTTCATGAAGTCTTAGCTGGCTTCATGGTAACTATGCCAATCAATCCTATTTACACACAATACATCTCCAGCACACACACAGGCATACACACATAGGGATATATTAGCCAGGTGGCATATAGGACTAGTAGTTAGCGCCTAATAAGGCAGCTCCTGTGAATTCCTCAATATTGTATTGATTAATATATATATGCTAATTGTAATATATATATATGCTAACTGTATAAAATTGTTTATCTATGTAATGTAAAGCGCTTCAGAGTGGCTTATGTTAGCTAGATAGGGTGCTATATCAAATGTTGTACATTTACTTATTTATTTATATTAGTGGTGTAACGATACATCGTACTATTGATAGATTGCGATTGTACACCTCTCTGTTTGATTAATCGATGACAACTTCATAAACTCGATAAAAGTCGTCGAAAGTATGCTATAAACAATGATAGTTTAAAAACTACTAACACTTACGTACGGTTTTCATTATCACACCATGCGATTACGATTACTGATAATTCAGTCTTTATCATTACGACGCACTTGGCTGCACTTACACAAGAAGTCAAAGGCGGTAGTCACTAACAGATATTAGTCTCAGTCGTATGTGTGTTTGAATTACATAACTGTTACAGTATACTCTAGATCTATACTCAAGTGTTGTGGGAACGTTTGATAAACACGCTAGCAGACAGCGTGGCGACTAACTTCCATATTTAAGACAAAAATGACCTTATATACCAACAAACAAACAGAGAATTAACAGAAAGAACTTGGGGTAACTGAAGTATCCAATACTATCGTGATAGTATACCACAATAATTGAACTATCGCAATAGTGTTTTCCCCAATAGTTATAGTTTTGCAATAGTGAAAAACACACGCAATATTCACCCATAATATATATATTTACATTCTAATATTGACCTAAATACAGATATTCCCTTATATTTTCATTATTGAAATGTCTATTTCGCCAGTGCCCCCTCCCCCCTCCCCCATTTTTTAACAAGACCAGGGGTCCTATATAGAGTTGAACTGTATTTATAACCAAAGGGTCCTACTAGAGTTTTACTGTATGGTAATTTGAATTTTAATGTGAATTGGAAACATCTTCATTAAGATTATTTCTTCAAGTAGGAAATATGTATTATCAAAGTTTTACTTTATTCGCATGTGAATTGGAAACATCTTCATTAAGATTATTTCTTCAAATAGGAAATATGTATTATCAAAGTTTTACTTTATTCACATGTGAATTGGAAACATCTTCATTAAGATTATTTCTTCAAGTAGGAAATATGTATTATCAAAGTTTTACTTTATTCACATGTGAATTGGAAACATCTTCATTAAGATTATTTCTTCAAGTAGGAAATATGTATTATCAAAGTTTTACTTTATTCACATGTGAATTGGAAACATCTTCATTAAGATTATTTCTTCAAGTAGGAAATATGTATTATCAAAGTTTTACTTTATTCACATGTGAATTGGAAACATCTTCATTAAGATTATTTCTTCAAGTAGGAAATATGTATTATCAAAGTTTTACTTTATTCACATGTGAATTGGAAACATCTTCATTAAGATTATTTCTTCAAGTAGGAAATATGTATTATCAAAGTTTTACTTTATTCGCATGTGAATTGGAAACATCTTCATTAAGATTATATCTTCAAGTAGGAAATATGTATTATCAAAGTTTTTCTTTATTCACATGTGAATTGGAAACATCTTCATTAAGATTCTTATTTCTTCAAGTAGAAATATGTATTATCAAAGTTTTACTTTATTCATATGTGAATTGGAAACATCTTCATTAGGATTATTTCTTCAAGTAGGAAATAGTTATTATCAAAGGTTTTCTTTATTCGCATGTGAATTGGAAACATCTTCACTAAGATTATTTCTTCAAGTAGGAAATAGTTATTATCAAAGTTTTTCTTTATTCACATGTGAATTGGAAACATCTGCATTAAGATTTATCAAAGTTTTACTTTATTCATATGTGAATTGGAAACCTCTTCATTAAGATTATTTCTTCAAGTGGGAAATATGTATTATCAAAGTTTTTCTTTATTAGCATGTGAATTGGAAACATCTTCATCAAGATTATATCTTCAAGTAGGAAATATGTATTATCAAAGTTTTACTTTATTCACATGTGAATTGGAAACATCTCATTAAGATTCTTACTTCTTCAAGTAGAAATATGTATTATCAAAGTTTTACTTTATTCATATGTGAATTGGAAACATCTTCATCAAGATTATATCTTCAAGTAGGAAATATGTATTATCAAAGTTTTACTTTTATTCATATGTGAATTGGAAACATCTTCATTAAGACTCTTATTTCTTCAAGTAGAAATATGTATTATCAAAGTTTTTCTTAATTCGCATGTGAATTGGAAACATCTTCACTAAGATTATTTCTTCAAGTAGAAAATATGTATTATCAAAGTTTTACTTTATTCATATGTGAATTGGAAACATCTTCATTAGGATTATTTCTTCAAGTAGGAAATAGTTATTATCAAAGGTTTTCTTTATTCGCATGTGAATTGGAAACATCTTCATTAGGATTATTTCTTCAAGTAGGAAATAGTTATTATCAAAGTTTTTCTTTATTCGCATGTGAATTGGAAACATCTTCACTAAGATTATTTCTTCAAGTAGAAAATATGTATTATCAAAGTTTTACTTTATTCATATGTGAATTGGAAACCTCTTCATTAAGATTATTTCTTCAAGTAGGGAATATGTATTATCAAAGTTTTACTTTTATTCATATGTGAATTGGAAACATCTTCATCAAGATTATATCTTCAAGTAGGAAATATGTATTATCAAAGTTTTTCTTAATTCGCATGTGAATTGGAAACATCTTCATCAAGATTATATCTTCAAGTAGGAAATATGTATTATCAAAGTTTTTCTTTATTCGCATGTGAATTGGAAACATCTTCATTAGGATTATTTCTTCAAGTAGGAAATAGTTATTATCAAAGGTTTTCTTTATTCGCATGTGAATTGGAAACATCTTCATTAGGATTATTTCTTCAAGTAGGAAATAGTTATTATCAAAGGTTTTCTTTATTCGCATGTGAATTGGAAACATCTTCACTAAGATTATTTCTTCAAGTAGGAAATAGTTATTATCAAAGTTTTACTTTATTCACATGTGAATTGGAAACATCTTCACTAAGATTATTTCTTCAAGTAGAAAATATGTATTATCAAAGTTTTACTTTATTCACAATGTAAAAAGTATGTAATAAACATGTCGCAACGTTTCAAGACCAACTGGTCCCTTTGTCAAACTATGATTGTGAGTCTGAGTGAGTAATTTGTATTAATGTTTACCTGTACAACGATGTGACGAAAGTTTATGGGTTTTTTATGTCACTCAACCCAGGACATTTCCTCTACATGTATATTAATACAGTGTGTATACGCTTTCTATCGATAGGCGAAACATCCGGGGTCGTGAAAAAAAAATATCTAAAAAAGTCTAAAATTAAGAAATGGCTCTTTATTCCTGCACAACAAACCTGAAGCATTAACTGTGGTCCGAGACATGTGATCCATCAAAATTTGTTACAGTTACAAAGTTCTATGAAGCTAAGGGGGGTCATTCATGTCAAGTCTCATTTTGATCCCTTAAGTACCGAGTAGTAACTATAGTTCTTGAGAAAAAGCAGTAACGTCACATGCAAAATCAAAGATGGCTGCCTGCAACCATTCAGCTTCATTCGTAACTATGGACTTAAGGGATAACTCACAACAGCATTCATCAAGGTTTCTTCATTTGATACCTGCTGAGTGATCCATAGCACATATAAGACACTTGACATACATATGTCACCCTGGTAAAATACTAGCAGCTTCCTACGTACAGACTTGGCTAGGGAGAATTTATATTTAGCTCATTCGGTAGAGCATAAGACTAGTAAGCCAGAAATCCTGTGATCGACTCCTAGCAAAGGAATCACTATGCCTCCTGGAAAACTCAGGGTGAGGTCTTTCCTGGAGGGGGAGTACGTCACCCTGGTAAAATACTAGCCACTTCCTTCCAACTTGGCTAGGGAAAATTTCTCTTTAGCTCATTCAGTAGAGCGTAAGACTAGTAAGCCAGAAATCCCGTGATCGACTCCTAGCAAAGGAATCACTATGCCTCCTGGAAAACTCAGGGTGAGGTCTTTCCTGGAGGGGGAGTACGTCACCCTGGTAAAATACTAGCCACTTCCTTCCGACTTGGCTAGGGAGAATTTCTCTTTAGCTCATTCAGTAGAGCGTAAGACTAGTAAGCCAGAGGTCCCGGGTTCGACTCCTAGCGGAGGCATTGAAAAAATAATGACCTCTGTTACACATACAAAACATAGGATGGATATATACCTGCTGATGGCCACGTTATATTTTTTTACCATTTCATTTTTACCAATCATATTTAAAGCATGTAAGACTACATTTACTTATGAACCATGTGGAGACTTACATTATTATCAATTTTCATTACCGTATTTACTTAGAAAATCCTTAATGGAACAAGAGGCCCATGGGCCTTAACGGTCACCTGATATATTTATACAGAGAGTTGATTTTGTTTTTAACATGAACAGAAATAGTATTCAAAGTGACAAAAAACAATAAAACCACCTTATTCAATATCTAGCATACAGATTTCAGACTAAAAAGGATTTGAAACTAGCACCTCTGATTCTAAACAAGGAAAATGAAGAAATTTTAGCACACCGACTCCTTTGAGCCCCACCCTACA